GTGGGCGCGGCGCTTCCCGCCTTTGAGCCTCTGCAGGGGGGAGCGGGGGTTCTGGGCGCGGTGATGGGGGGGTGCGCGCCAACGTCCCTGTGGGCTGAGGGGCAGAGCCTGCGGTGAGGGGGTCTTCCTCTTGGGTCTGGCGGGGTGGGTGGCTGATCACCGGTGTAAGCAATGTCCACGGTGTGAACGTTTCCTGAGCTGGGACCAGCGTAGGGCAGCGTGAGTGGGATGGTGGGTGTTGGTCTTGGCCCTGTTCATACAATAATTTCTGTAGAGGCGTTGTGGTTCGTTAAACCTCAGGGCTGTGTGTAGGGTTGTGGAGTGATACGTGCTTCCAAATTTAAGGTAAGGGGAAATATTACCCAGCTAAAGCTTAAATTATCAGGAGAATAACTTTACAGAGGTGGTGACTCTGCATGTTCTCATCTCTGCAGACACAATACAGGCAAGCCTCTGGCTAGGTAAATCCAAGCAGAGCATGTAGTAAAAATCTGATAGTTAACATAAGGTTGCCCTTATGTTAATAACATGATTATAAGATGGCATGATTTCCAATGGTTTTATGTCAAAAGTTGCCACCTTCCTGCCTCTCAGGAGAGAGTATACAACATAATATTACAGAAGGTCTCAGCTTCCTAAAGAAATACAGTTATCTTATAAAGAAGTGTTCTTATCACCTATCCTAAGCTTTCAAGTTTTTTTTATGGAAGATAAAGAAATGCTGTAGTCATGTAACGTTCTAATAGTAGATTACTGACTTGATTTTGGAGTGTTATGGACAGGGGTGAAAAAAACACTAGTTGTCCATGCAATTGAAGCTACCTAGCTAACCACTTTGACGTTTCCAGGGTTGAGAGCACTATTTCAGTTACACCCTGGAGAACTCTTGCTTCTGGCTGTGCTTGAAATATTTTATATTGCAAGATGTAATGCATGATGAAAACTATGTATTTGCTGCATGCGTAACACTAAATTATAGCACCGTTTTGTATATGATTACAGTATTTGATTTGCCCGTTGCCTTTGTAACTGTGGGAAACCTGGCAGCCAGAGTGCTGCTGTTCAGAGCATGTGTCTTGGGCAAAACGGAGGGCAACAGTTTGGAAGTAAAGGCACTCTTCTGGTTGTGCTCAGATTTGGTTAGTCGTTTCATGATAGCATTTCTGGGACATTATAACACTGTTAGTCCTGGCAATGAAAAGGAAAAGGTGTTCCTGATTAAAAGAAAACTATTGTTGCTTGATTATGATTGATATGTAGATGACGTTGAGAATCTTGGACTGTGTAATGCTTTAGAGTATTTCCACTATGTTTTATGAACAAACCTACTGTTTTAAATATTTGCTTCAAAGTAATTCCCATAATCTACTGTTTTTCTAGGTTGATCAACTCCAAAATGTTATCTCAGTGTCTGTGCCAAGTTTACAAATGTTTATTTCTGCACAACTTAAAACTGAAGTCAATAAATGTGGCTACTTTGGCCAGACAGATCCATTCTTCAGCGAAAAAGTGTTCTGACTGTGAGTTAAAGGAACAAACTGCCCAGAAATGTGAGACTGAAGAGTTGACTCAAAGTACAGAAAACAATAATTTTGGAAGATTGCACATACCAGTGATGCTGGAGGAGGTTATTAACTGTTTATCCCCCCAGCCAGGCCAGGTAAGTTAAATGATTAATTCGCTAGGAGTCCGTCCAAAAAATTTGTGCGGTGTAGGGATAACTCCTCTTTATTGAAATAGAGATTTTTTTTTTTTTTTAAGATCTCTTCCAGCATTTAAAGGATTTAAATTGTTTTGCAATTCAAATTAAGGCTCTCTGAAATAATAAAGATCTGGTATGTATTTGCCTGAATCCTCAAATAAGCAGCATTTGTTAAAACTAGTATTTGAATGAGCTCTTGGTTTTATTCCTGTATTTCTGGAGTGCTGTTTATATTTCTGGGGCTGTGCTAATTACCAATAGTATCAGCGAGTTCTCATGTATGGCTGTGTCCTCAATGCGTGAGGAGCTCAATTCCTTTTTAATAAGAGGTAGTAAGTGTGTACGTCTTAAAAATCGTCACCATACCTTGTTCTGAGATACTTATTTCCATGGTTTCACTTGGTTTGAGGCACTGTATTTCCTTAGGGTATGCTTACACTGCATAATGTGGTGCACTGTAGAAGTACTGCAGCTGTGAAATGACTGTGTAAGGTACCAGAAGTGGTTTAGCATCAGTAATGTGGCAGTATTACACGTAGTCCTATTTAGCTACCATCCTATAAGGAGTTTCCTTTAGGATGCGTGGGTTAGCTCAGGTCAGCCTGCACTGCAGTGCTAACATACTCCCTTTACAAAAATGATGTCCAATAAAATAGTTTTCACCTGAGGGATCTTAAATACAATATTAAGTTGAAAGACTTTCTTATACAACTTAAATGATTTTCACATTTCAGATGCTTTCATCTGTGAATTTAGTACTTTTTATGTTCATTTCATAGAATCTTACTAATTTAGGCTTATCAGTGTGCAGTTTTTCCACAAAGGCTGAGATGAAACATAAAGAAGTAGAAAGTTCAAAGTGTATGCAAGTATGTTTGTTACTCCTTTTTACTTGAAAGCAGCATTGTCCGTCAGTGGCAGAGAGATACAGCAAGTTTGACATGGATTCAGGGATCAAAAACATTGTGGTCACCTCTTGTTGCATTGCCTTGTGAAATCTTTAGTTTGGAAGACAATCTAAGTGTTTTGAAAGCCAAAGAGAATCCAAATTGCATGATCATTGTAACCTATGTATGTTACAGTACTCTTGTAGCAGTCTTCCACATGTCCTGTTGAAAGTACCTAAACCAATGCAAAACACAAGAAACTTTGAGTTCAGATTTTACTCACGTGTCAGAACTAAGATGAAATTTTCATATGTTAAATGAACATATAAATTGTGCCACTGTATGTAAAGTATTTTTCCAGTTGTTGAAGTAGAAACTTACACAAGAATTAAGAGGAGGTTGAGGGGGGGGACTGTTTTTAACATTAAGCTGTTTTTGTTGATGCAAAAACCACCCTTATTTAGCGACAGAACTTGCAAAAGAAACTCTGTTTGTGGTTATAAACAGTGGAGAGGAACTATTGTTGACCCTGAAGGCTTTTTTGATAATTTAAATATCTATGAATGTAAAATAGCTTAATATTTGGGGTGGGATTTCTTTCAGGACTGTGTATACATGGTTTTGCAGATTCCTAAGCTAGTGGTGAACCACTAATGACACATATAAGAGTGCACAAATGTGTTGTCTTGAACAGAAGCATTTATAATGTGGCTAGCCTGTTTAGCATAGCTGAGGACAAACCCAATACTTCCATTTTTCTTTCTTTTAAAGACAGAATAAATTACATATCTGCAGCACTTTCTGAAGCCTGAAGTTTTGAAAATAAGTCGTGTGCTGAAGGATGTCAGCTGAGTTTTGGTAGAGTAAGCATCAGTGAAATTTTGAACAAAGCTTGAGACTTGTTCTCGCTGACACAAATGGTGGTTAACATGTCTTTAGCCCTGGGACTGTTGTACAATTTACGGTTTTTAAGGTTATAGCCATGACTAGGAAGTCTCTGAACACTTCCTTTATTTTGTGGGCAGGGAAGGATTTTGTTTTTCTGCTTGTTACTGTCCTATGCACATGAAAATTTCCTTTACTCGGCTTTAAGACAGTTATATTCTTTGTTATAAAAAAGCTGATTTGGGCCTCTATTTCTTGTGTCCTAAGACAAGGAGTCGCCAATATAAAGAAAATCCAATTAGAAAGACAACATTCTCCCTATGGTTTTGGTCAGTGAATGGCCTTTTCATTTACTTATAGGGGTTCCTAAGGAAATAAATGTTACTTAAGAGTGAGCCACAGCTACGATAAAGATGTTAGTACCCTCCTACTGAATATTCTTGTTGACAGTCTCCTTTGTGGAATCTGTTTGTCAAGGGTTTCAGCAATAATTTTTCCACTTACCTTTGAATCTTCTTTTATTACCTTAGAGCTTGTTTCTACAAAGTCCCTGTAGTAGTCCTGTCTTTGAAGCACATTGTACAAATTAGTTTTTACTGATCTGCCTCGCTTCTCCTCAAAGACAAGACTGTTGCAGTAAATCCACACACAAGTAATTTCCTCTTTAAGTTTATTGCATTGGTTAAACTACATTTTAGTCTTCTCAGTCCACTGGTGCTCTTTAGGCATACCTGACTGGTGTTTCTGCAGTTGCTGGGCAGCTTGAGTTTTCTTTGTTCTCTTAGACTTTAAGGTAGAGAAGAACCAAGCATATTTTCAGAATAAATGTCTTCAGACGTCCAGAAGCATGTTTTCCCAATTTTCACCTTACTTTGTCCTTTGAAGTGGTCTCTTGACTTTTAACCAGAGGTGTGGATCGCTTCCACATAACATAATAGTGATACAAAGAATTTCATTAGCAGTGAGTTTTAGTATGAATGCCAGAGGATGAAACTTTGAAACTTTAATTATTCTTATGGGGGTCTTATAACCAAGGTTTTTCCAGGTTGCAAAGCCCTAGGAAACTATTTTGATTGTGCTGTTTGTGGTGGAGCATTCTGCTATGAATAATATTTGAACTCCAACTAGAACAAAAATAAGTATTATACCTACTCAGATTTTATGGGGAAGCCTGTAGTGTGATGACATCTATGGTCTTGTGTTAAATATGATCTAGAATAGACTAAAATGGAGGTACAGTGAGTATTATTTGGTTGATAGTTCTGTAAGATTTTATTTTAATATCTGTAAATTAAATAGTAGGTGGTCAAATGTGAGGTGAAAAAGAATGAATGAGACCATTCCTTTCTCTGCAGTGTTGAAGTGATTCATCAGAAACGGAGTTAATATCTCCTGATATTTTTTCCTCCTTATTTTAATTTGTGTCTAAAAAGAATAAGGCGCTTAATTTTCCCGAAACAGATCTTATCTGACATCTTCTTGAGTTAGCTAGGACTTCTTGCAGAGGTATTTCATTCCTCTTTGATTCTTCATAAAACTATTCTGATTATTTTTACTACCCAGCTTTCATTGAAGGGGGTATCCTTTTTGTCTTGGGAAATAATATGTGGTACCTAGCTTCTAGAAAGAGACAGGTATTTCTTTCAGTTATATATGGCATTGATCTTGGGTGTTGTCATACAAATGCCAGGAATTTAAAGACCAGGCAGCTGCTTGCTCACTCCTCCCGGTGAGATGGGAAGGAGAAAAAACAAGGAAAGGTTTGTGGGTTAGGGCAAGGGGAGGGATTGCTCACCTGTTATGGTCATGGGCAAAACAGACTTGACTTGGGGAAGAAAAAATTAATCGGTTACCAATCAAATTGGAGTGGGATGATGAGAGACAAAACAAAACAGGTCTTAAAAACCTTCACCCACCCTCCTTTCTTCCCAGACTACCTCCTCCCCTCCCCGCAGCACAGGGGGACAGGGGATGGGGGTTTCATGGGCAGGTCATCACATCTTGTCTCTGCTGCCCCTCCCTCCTCAGGGGGACAACCCCTCACACTCTGCCCCTGCTCCAACTGGGGTTCTCTCCCACAGGAGACAGCCCTTGAACTTCCCTGGCATGAGTCCTTCCCGCAGGCTGCAGTTTTCTCCTCTGATTTCTCCAGTGTGGGTCCCTTCTGC